ATGCTTCACATTTGATCAGTATAATCGAAGTTTACTATAACAACAATAACATGCCATGATATTTCTAACCATTTTGAGATGATTTTATTTTTCAAGCGATAAATAACGAAGGTAAAATTCGAGTTCAAGACCTTGCGATTGTTAAAATCTTCACCGGATAAGTTTACTTATACCTTCAAAAATATATCGAATGAGATTTAAAACCATGACCCTTTAGTACACAACTATCAAACTAATAATTAAGGTGTACAATTACTATAAGAATTTTGGCAAAATTATATTAGAGTTTTTGCTTACTATAAGATTTTGATTTAGCCCCACATTTGAAGTGGGTTAAGAATTAAATTTAATCATAATAAACTGAAGATATACTACTATTAAGTTTGGTTTAAGCATTTTATATTAGTGATTTAGTTTGGTTAAATGCTACTATCATCATTAGGTTATACCTCATAAACATAGATTTTGATTGAGCTTAAACATTTTAAATTTATGTGAGCTTAAGAAGTGATAGTGATGCTAAGCGTATATAATATTTTCTTCCTCTACATTTCCTTCTTACCCTCTGTCGATAATACTTATGAGTATATTTTCTCAGATTAAAAAATAATAAAATATACAATATAGCAGAAATGAGGGGCAAAAGAAGTGTGGGAAGTCAATCATGTACGACACATCAATCAATAGCAACGCAAGTCTAACTATATCCTTTACCAAGGCCAAATATTTGTGAAAAAAGTGTATAGATGAATTTAGCTGTGCGGTAAGAGTCAAACTCTATGTCTCAACCAAGTTAGATTCTATAAAAGGACTAATCAAGATCTAATTTAGCTATAGCACAATTTAGATTCTCTAAATCCTAGTTCACTATTGGGCTAATTAGCTCATATTCACGTATAAAAATGATGAGAATAAAAAAGATAAAAAAATAATTTTACTATCTTTTAAATTATTAATTTTATATAAATCTTTATTTCCTCTCTGGCTCTAACTCGAGAGGCTTTCATAGAAAGTGTTTGGCGTACTGACAACATGGATATTCACCATTGTTGATACATTCAAGCTCAAGGTGAAGCCAGGAAAGACGAACCTCTTGTGCATGACCAACGTTGCAATCAATGAGGAGCTCTTCTTTAGTATCACCAACCATTCCGTCACCGTCGTCGATGTTGATGCCATCTATGTGAAGCCCTTCGATGCCGAGACTATCCTGATTTCATCGGGCCAGACGACCAACATCCTCCTCTATGCCAAGCCTCCTTACCCCAACGCCACCATCTTCATGATGGCTAAGCATTATGCCATTGGATCCGGCACGTTCGACAACTCCATGGTCGCCGCTGTGCTTGAGTACCAAAAGCCCCACGGTTCATCCAACATCAGCTTTGATAAGAACCTCCCGCTCTACAAGCCCCATGGTTCAATGGCACTTCCTCTGGCGCAAACTTCACCGGCAAGTTATGTAATCCGGCGATAACTCTATTTCCTGCGAGTGTGTCGACACTTCTACTTCATGGTCGGGCTCAGGATGAGACCGTGCCCAAAGAACCAGACGTGTCAAGGGCCCAACAACACCAAGTTCGTGGCCACCCACGACGGCTCTCCTCTATGCACAATTCACTGGGAAGTCCAACGACGTCTACACCCCGACCTTCCCTGTCGTTGCCCTAATTCCATTCAACTACACTGGAGCTCTGCCAAACAACACGATGGTGAGTAATGGGACCAAGCTTGTGATACTTCTGTTCAACACCGATGTCGAGTTGGTGATGCAGGACACGAGCGTTCTAGGTGTAGAGAGCCATAAGTTGCACCTCCATGGCGATAACTTCATCATCGAGCAAGGGTTCGACAACTATGATCTGATGAATGACCCTGCCAAGCTTAACTTGGTGGATTTGGTGGAGAGGAACACCATCGACATTCCGACCAGTGGTTGGGTGGTCAACAGATTCTTAGCCGACAATCCAGGTCTGTCTCGACTAGAATGCATATTCTCTTGATCGAAAGTGTTGAGAATCGAAGGGGAGGGAACCGATAAAAAGTTTATGTGAAAGCCTCTCGAACCGAAGCCAGAGAGGAAGAAAGATTTCTACAAAATTAATAATTTAAAAGATAATAAAATTATTTTTTTATCTTTTTATTCATATTATTTTTGCATATGATAACACATGCAATTGTTTTCATTGACAAAATTGATGATCCGAGGAGAATTAAAATTAAATATTTTACTTTTTAAGTAAGTGTAGATATCCCAATATTATTTTTTAAACTATAGAGATCGAAATGCTAATTATAGCTAATTACAAAAGATAATCTATAATTAGCTCCTCTATCGCTCATTTTTGTCTCAACTCAGTTGAGACATTCAACCCTTGGAAGTGAGATCCAATAAATAGATACTATGATTAACTTAGATTTAATTTTTTTATATATAATGATAAGTAATTTAGGGTTAGATTAATATTTTTATCATTTAAGATAATAAGAAGTTTAATAAATAATTAAATTGAGAAATTAATATTATCCGTAAATCATAAATTATATATATTAGACTTATTAGGGATAATATTGAAAAAAAAAATGATTAGGTTTTCTACTTAAAAGGGCCCTATCTTTTTTTTTTTTTTTTTTCTATTTGGCCTTGCATGCGTGAAGTCATCGTTGTTAGTGGTCTTGGTTCATCCTGACTGAGATTAAGAAATTGATAGGGTTCAAACCACTACCACACTATTACAATGGACTAAGAGGATGTAGAGAGATTTGGATTGTTATATTAGAGTTATATGAGCCTAAATGCTCGGTCTATCTTATATATTTTTTATTAGATTATAATAAGATTTGAGCACGAGACATATTTGTATTTGGTTTTGGACTTAGACTCGTATGAGTTCTTAAAAGGGATGATATGCATGCATCTTAAAATACATATGATAGAAAATTTTGAAATAAACATATGTTTATATTCTATGAATCTCTAACTACTCTGACATTCATACAAGTGTAGGTATTTATTTTCATCCTATTAATCCTTACCCATCTCTTTTCTAAAAGAAGGTATGTGACATTTATTCAAGGGTGGACACTTATTTTAATCTTATGAATCCTTAACAACTTCTTTTACAGAAAAGAGATGCGATTCTCATTCAAGGAATATTCATCCTTATAAAAGCTTTGTAAACTCTCACATTTTGGAGTTAATGAATGAACGAATAAAGAGTTTAGTGTTCATAATTATCAAGAATATTGGGTAAGAGGCTTGAGTGAGGAGAGAGTCCTCAAAGAGAGAGATCCTACCCATCCATTCTTTCCCTTTCCCTCCTCCCCATCACCCAACTTCATCTTCAACCATCGTGACAATACCATCACATTCATGGTAACAACACTATCAACCATCAGTCATTGTCAACGCAGCCCTCGTCAATAACTATCACACTATGTGTCAACATTTCTACCATGCTATTCGTTTGATCACTGTTTCACCATCGAATGCCAATAACATTATATCATTTTCAGTTGTGTTAAGAGTTATTTATGAGAAAAATATTTCTTGCACTCGAAGGTTGAGTAATGTATTAATTTGAAAAATAGGATTGATTTAGCCCTTTATTATATCTTGTTTAAGACTAGCTTTTGACATACTTCATTTTTTATTCTTCCATGTAGTACGAGTATTTTAACATCTCTTAGTTTTCTTTGTCTAATTATTTTATATTTATTTATTTAGATTTATTAAATTATTATTCAAACTAATTAAAATAAAATCAAGTTATGATTATATAGATAAATTAATATCTTTATTACTACCCCCATGTGTTTCTCAAACTTGTTGACCTTATCATCTTTGACGACACCTTTTATTTTTGCCCATCTCATATCTCACTCATCCCCTACATTAAAAGTCCTAGATTTAGAGTCGAAAAGAAAGATCANAA